AATTCCCTTCTTTCTCTTCCCCAAAATTATTCTCCGTCGAAAAAAGCCCGGGTTTTGCAATCGGCGACGCCATAGCCCCGGCCAAAAGCTGGGAGAAAGAAAACGGACTTTGCTCGGAGAAGAAGCTGGTAACCAGGGTCAACGGACCCGGGCTGAATCCGGGCACCGATCCAGTTGTAAAAAAAGTATCCATGGAGCTCCAGGCGGTACAGTAATTTTCGATCATCCCACCGCCGTGCCTTTTGAACCCACATCTTCGCCGTCATAGTCTCACCCATCCTTGATTCTAAATTTCGTTCTCAATTTTTTTTTTTTGAAATTGGCTACTGTTTCTAACACAATGTGTGTTTTCTATTGGAGTTTCAATTGCTACGCAAGAACTTTAAAATGAGTAGTTCGCATCTAAGTTTGATTTGATTTGGTTTTCCAGCTTTCTCCAACTCCACCATGTGCTGTATGTATAGATTCAAACTGTCACTTGTGAGAGCAGTAACTGCAGAATACCACACAATCTAAAGCATGAGTCATCAACCAAGTTGAACTTTCTCTATATCTCAATCCTTTGTGGGTTCGTGAAGAAGACATCCATTTTTTGTTTCTTTTCTTATTTTTTGGTTTTTGTTTATTTATTTAATGTATTGAATTTAAATTTACCATTATACTCATCTCAATTTGGTCAAAATTCATTTTTCTTGGTCAACTGACGATTGATGGAGGGTTTCCAGCCAGATAGACTTCAAGTGCATATTTATGAAAGATTTGGGACATTTGCTGATACAAATTGAAGATCAGAGTAAAGTCTACAAAAATTAAAAAGGTGAGGGACCGCTGCTGCAATTTTCCCTTTTTAAAATTGCTAAAACCCTAACCCCTAAGAAGGCTGATCAGACTGATTCCCACAATTACAATAAAAATGGCATCTCTGGCCTTCTCTGGTAGTCTTGTGATCCCCCACAGAAACCCCTATTCAACTCGGAAAGCGTCCTCATCAATAGTATGACACTCTTAATTCGAAACACGCCCACACGTGTGTACACATTTTGATTTTTGGGGTTATTTTGTTTGCTTTGCAGAGGTGTAACAGTGTAGCGGAGCCATTGAAGTACAAGGAAAACGGAAAACCAGGAAGCTTGCCCAATGACATTAACAACGATTATGGGAAATTGGCGTCGTTTCCGGGCTTCTTCAGCACTCACAATCAGTTGTATGAAAGAATTCCTGTTCAGAAAAATGACACCCGTCTTCGGATTTTCTCTGGAACTGCTAACCCTTCTCTGTCACAGGTTTTTGCTGCCAAATTTTCGTTCAACTTTTTTCACGCATGCTCGTGGATCAAAAATATTTCCGTGTGGTTTATGATCATTTTAAGGATTTCCAAATGTGATAAATACGAACATGTGATAATAGAGAAATGGGTCTAGCTATGGAGTTATAATAGTTATGGAAAATAGTTTCATTTTTTGGTAGTGTTAAAAAAAAAAATCAACAAATTTAATTTCCATGAAAAATATTTTTTATTTGTGAAAAAGGAAAAGAAATTTTGACTTATATCTAATCATTGAAAGCTTGTTTGGTTTGGATTGGATTACATGCCTTGAGGTAAATCACTTCCAAAATATAGATTAAGTCTTTGGGTAATGTGATGATTTTTGTTATTATTTAATATTACAGAAAACTACAGAAAAATAGTTGTATTATGTTCACAATTGAATCTATAAATAATCATGATCATATCAACAGCAAATTGATTCTAAGAATGTGTTTTTATTTTAATACCATAACATTGCACTAGTTAACATGCGCTTCTGGATGTCATTTTTTTTCTCAATGTTTAGTTGATATTTGTAATTCTGCAGAAGGGAATCATATTTGTATTTTATCATAATTTTATTTTTTGACGTGTAAAGATTTTTCTGTGTTATATTTCTTTCCCCCATACAGTTTTTGATGTGTGATTTCTTCTTTTCTGCACAATTTTTGTCTAGAGTTTGCATAATGAGATACATAAACAATCACACTATTTGGTATGGAAATGTGCCTTTTACAGGAAATTGCATGTTATATGGGTCTGGAGCTTGGAAAAATTAAGATAAAAAGATTTGCCGATGGAGAGATTTATGTTCAACTACAAGAGAGTGTTAGAGGGTGTGATGTATATCTTGTGCAGCCCACTTGTCCTCCAGCAAATGAAAATCTTATGGAGCTCTTGATAATGATTGATGCTTGTCGAAGAGCATCGGCCAAAAATATTACTGCTGTTATTCCTTATTTTGGATATGCTAGAGCTGATCGAAAGGTATGTTATCTCAGTATTGACTTGATTTAAGTACCCCCATGGATCGGTTTGTCACATTGAAGTATTGATTTGAAATAGTTTGTTAAGGTGATGATCTTGAAATTACAGAATGCGCCCTTTCAAATATGTAACATCTCTATCTGCTTGGCCTTGACCCTGCTGTCTTTCCTGCTAAATGAAACATCATGATGCTGCTTATAGGTTTCTATTCGCAAGCATGTATTTTGTTCACTCACATTGAGTCTTTTCGTCAAAATTGAAGAATTCTTACTAGATGTTACATTTAATTAAAATTTAAAATTCCAATTTATCTGTGAAATAATGAAAGTATTGAAAAATATATACATGCTTCCGGTCCCCACTTTTACTTTGTATTCTAGAGTGTTTTAAAATATTTCAGAAGAAAAAACAATCCTTGAATTAAAATCATTTAGATGTCAAATGATGAAAATATTCTGGAAGTGTTTTAGGAGTTTGACCTTTGTTTAATTTCACCTTTATTTATTGACAATTGGCCTCTGAGTGAACGAAGTTAAGTTTTGAGTGTTCTGAGTTATCTTTGTTTTAGTACTTCAATTACCTATTTGCTGTTATGAACATTCACCTCCATTACAGACACAAGGGCGTGAGTCAATAGCAGCCAAACTTGTAGCTAATCTGATTACTGAAGCTGGTGCAGACCGGGTGCTTGCCTGTGACCTTCATTCTGGTCAGTCCATGGGCTATTTTGACATTCCAGTGGATCATGTACATGGTCAGGTAAAAAGCTTTGTGATATTTGTTTCCATGACATAAACAGAAGCTAACACTGGCATCATTTCTGTGATTTTTGGCAATATGTCACAAGAAAATTTGGAAGCTGTGGCGAACAATTATCTATATATTGCTTTTTTTCTTTTTCCGCAATCTTACTTTAAAATATTGCACTAATGTTCTGTTAACTTATTTTGTTTATTTGTTTTTTCTTCTGAATGTTTGCAAGTAGCCTGTCATACTTGATTACCTTGCCAGCAAGACCATATGTTCTGATGATCTGGTCGTCGTCTCGCCTGATGTTGGTGGGGTTGCTAGAGCAAGAGCTTTTGCCAAAAAGTTGTCTGATGCACCTCTTGCGATTGTTGATAAAAGGCGTCATGCACATAATGTTGCTGAGGTGAAGACCTCCAAATTGAAATGTATCTCTTTGTTTAATTATTCAGGTCTTTCAATATACATCTCATCGTCGATCGAAAACATTTACAAGGGCATCAAAGTTATGAAGTTTTGTGCAAGTTATGAAATACGTAATTTGAAAGAAACTTGTATGGCTAAGATGTTTCTAGGTGTTAGTCCAGCAGTTATCTGGTATGCCACATTTTGATGCCTAAGCCAACCAATGGGTTAAGATACATATTCGGATAATGCAGGTGATGAATTTGATTGGTGACGTGAGGGGAAAAGTGGCGGTGATGGTGGATGACATGATTGATACAGCTGGTAAGTTTTTTTTCTTCAAGGTCCACTTATTCTTTCTCAAACAACCGCAGCATGGGCAAACTAATTTAGACACTGCAATGCAAATCCTATTGGAAATCATTATGAAACTGAAAAAAAAAAAAAAGAGCTTTTGGTAATCATATATATACAGCTGTGTATGTAAATTAATTCATTTTTAATTATATTTCCAATTTGATCTTTGTTCTCCGCCAGGGGCAAAATAAGAATATATTTACATATAGAGCTACTTTCAATTTTGGCTGATTGATTCACAACTCTCTCCTAATCAGTAATATGCCGACTCTTCCAGCTACAAATTCTTTTCATTTTCCTTTGTCGAAATATATGTAAATCAATTGCTCAGCCTATGTTTGGCTTATGTTTTATAAACTGTTTATAAACGCAAACAAATAGGGACCTACAAGTATCACCTACTTATGTACCACTCATTTCTATGTATTTATAATTTAAGTCGTCGTATAAGAACTTCCCTAACATGCTCTCAATTTCCAATTTTTGTCTCCATTTGGAGGATTGTTTCGCATAGCTCCTGCTAGAAATTTTTTCCTAATCATTTTATCCGTAGTTGGTAACGGTACTTACCAGCAGATGGTTTACAGGAACCATTTCAAAAGGAGCAGCTCTGTTGCATCAAGAAGGAGCTAGGGAAGTGTATGCTTGCAGCACTCATGCTGTTTTCAGGTAGTAAATCAATTATTATTCGTGCAGCTTCATCAAATCAATTTTTTGTGAGGTATGTTAGGAGAATCTATGATATCTAAGTGTAATATTTGGTTATAACTGGAAGCATGGTGCTTTTTTTTACAGTGACAAAAATTGTTTACTTAGCCCCCGTTTGGCACCCATTTTTTTCTCATTCTCATTCTCATTATTTTTCTATTTCTTCATTTCAACCACACATTTTATCAATAAAATAATATTACACATAAACCTAAAAATTCTCCTTACTTTTTAACCATACATTCTTCCATCAATTACTATTCAAAAACACATTTTTATACAAAAATGGGTGTCAAACACCCCCTTAGTTACATTCTAACTTCCCAGGTTGGAGCTCATAAACATATCATCAAATAGCGTCACCTAATCCCTATCATTAGTGAAAAAATAAGTGTCAAGTTTAGATTATTGAGCTGCTTGATCATTATATTGGTCGTGTTCAGAGCAAGATCGTATTATACTTTGAAGTTTGACCATCGAAGTCGTGGCTTTTTATTCTTTTGGAGCAAGAGTTACGGCCTCATAATAGAATGCAGTACTTAACAAATTATGCCAAGCTTGATATTGCTCTTTGCTTGTACTGAATCAGGTATAATACTTTTCATTATTTTGTTTACTCAATATCCATGTTAAACGTTTTGCAGTCCTCCTGCAATCGAGCGGTTATCTAGTGGACTATTCCAAGAGGTTATCATAACAAACACCATTCCAGTAGCAGAGAAGAACTATTTTCCCCAGCTTACAATCTTATCCGTGGCAAACCTCTTGGGCGAGACTATATGGCGTGTGCACGATGATTGTGCTGTAAGTAGCTTTCACTTAAATCTCCCCGGCCCTTTTATACAACCCTCTGCTGAAGAAAGATGAGAATTTAAGACGAAACAAATGAATAGTATTTGCATTTTAAATTTTTCTGTGTTCTATTCTTGCCATTTTTTGACAAGAAGATGCTGATTATATATATTTTTAAGGGATGTCCTCTATGGAAGACTTGAATAACTATTCCATTTCTCCAACAAATTAGATAAGCAAAATGTACACGAAAGAAAAGAACAGATTTGTGATTAGGATTTTCTGCTGGCACGATAATCCTAACTTCCCCATAAAATATAATGATGCCTACCACATTAGATTGGAGCGTTCGACCGTATAACATTTTCATTACTGAAGAGAAATTGTATCTGACTTCACTTTCTTGCCATTTCAATTTTCCTGTTTCAGGGTGGATTTGAACCCTATTCGAGCTTGGGCATTGATTGATGAATTTTTCAATGCTGTCTTTCCCTGCCATTTTGCTCCCCTGAAAGGCAGTCTTCTGAACCAACAATTTTCGTTCATGAAATAATTTTATCTTTTTTATTTTGAACTTTTTTTTTTGGGTCATGTTGTACAAATGTGTGATAAGATCGTCGTATAAAGTATAAACAATATTCTGAAGGATCAGAATATTGTTTAAGAGGGTCGAAATGTTTTATGCCATCTTGAATCTTTTTATACATGTATGGTTTCTGTAGTCTATAAATTTCGGATTCTATGAATCAATCGTGTGGAAGATCAAAGTTATATATACTAATTTGGTTTAGTACTCAAGTTTTTGTTTCAGCTAGAATCAATTTTTCTATGGACCGTTTGACATGAATAACGGTCAATATGGAGTTAAACTCGCCTATTTTATGCAAACTGTGTAAAAATATATTTTGTTGGATTCCACGAAGATTCAATAGTAGACATGCTGCCTATATGATTGGTCATCTGAGAACTCAAAACATGGCCTGTGAAAGAATATTTTCCCACTAAAAGAACTAAAACATCATCCTTCAGGGCTACTGGGGTGAGTACCTGATCGTAAATCTTAGGGTCTCGTGGAATTAGTCGAGGTGCGCGTAAGTTGGTCCGGACATTTACGGTTATAAAAAAAAAAAAAAAGAACTAAAACTTCTAATAGACAACAAGGGATCTTTAGTGACACAGCTTAGAAAGAGATGCATTATTCCATAAAAATGTCAATATAATTTATAGTTTTCTTTTTTGATAAACAATGAGTAGCATTTGTTCCTATTTGGAACACTGAGCAATCGTATCTCTATTTTCCCTATTTTTATGGGTAAAAAGGAGGCCCAAAGATCTTGAGAGCTGCTCACACCATCCCTCAGTGTATGCTTGGCATACCATACTAGATAACTCGACAATGTGATAAATCCAGTACTAACTATTCTCCCTTCCAGACATGGCATTACGATTCACCTTTCACAGCCTGAATCTGATTGGTCATCATTTAGAAGAACCTCTGCAGAGGAATACTTTCCCCCCTTATCACGAACTTCATGTGTTCGATTATGTTGCATGTAATCTGTATCCCTCTTCATGAACTGGAATCCCATTATGTACCTGTATTCGCCGGTTCCAAGACAACGAGGGCAGTAGCCGAGACCACTTCCACCACAGCTTCTGCACCTGGATCATTGGTTAGGAGCAAATGGTGAGGCATCAAAAGGTCCAGCATTATGAACTTGCGATTAAATCAATTGTGGATCAACCCAATCCAAGTTTTTTGATCTTACCATTTCGGCCACTCTCCTTTTGGAAGCATTGTTAAATGAACGTGATTTGTTCTCCCTGCAATATTAAAACTGAAACCAGGATTAGTCGTCAAAATAAACCAATTTTTTGTGGGATATGTGCTAAAAGTATTAGGGTCATACTGCTACAATTAAATATTTTGAATGCTATTAAATACATACATTTATTTATTTTTAAACAATCATTGCTTAAAAAATAATGTTTCAAGGTGCAGCGCACAGTTCTTGTTCGTATGGCTTCTTATTTTCCAGTTTTTAACACCACAGATCGGTTACCAGATTTTCCAATTCACAAAATTGGTGATTTGTAAAGCATCAAAAAGCATTCTTTGCTAGAGATAAGGATGAGGCCAATAAATAACTTTGCAGGGTCATAACATAACTAAGGATAAAAATTTCGTAACAAGGTAATAATGTAGAAATACAAAAATACTATAAATTTTTTTTTTCCAACAAAAAAATGTAATAATAACTTGGTTAACTTCTTTTTTATTTCATTTTTTGGTTCTCTCTCTCTCTAATTTAATGTAACAATTTCATTTTTTGGTTCCCTTTCTTTAATTTAATGCAACAATTTGTCTATCTCTAACTTGAGAACAAACCCCTACAGAAACTTATCTGTAAACAAATGAACAATAGAAGCTATTAAATAAAAATGGATATTCCACCGAAAAAAAAAAAGAACTGGAGGAAGTTCTAGCAGTACTTCCTGCATCTGTATCTATTGAGCCTTGGCCAAGTATACTTTTATACTATCTCTCCTGGCAGGTGCTAGAAATTTCTATAACAGTAATTCACTTAAAATATTATTTCACAAAATAGCATTGTGAGCTTACTTAGGTAACACTTAAATGAATTGAAATTTCACCCCTCCAAGAATTACCCTCTGCTACTCCAAAGGACTCCTTGTTTACTAAGAGAAGTTGAAAGGAACAGAGGAGAATAGAGAACGTACAGAGGCAAGTAGCAAAGAGGGAGAAAGAGAGATGTAAAAAACCAACCTCTTCCATGGCAATCATGACAATCAACTCTCCCACTTCCTCTGCAGACAACACAAGGTGGATCTGGACCTTTGCTTTTTTCTTTCCGAACATTTGACTGTATCAAAATAGATTGTCATGGCAACTACGCCTAATGTATTCTCATAAAATTAAACAAAAAGATACCAACTTTGGTCAAAGATGGATTAATACTTAGAAGAACAATATGATACACATTTTCAATGTCTATAGGGGAATAGAATCCCATTCTGGTGTTGAAATTCAATTTTATTTTGACATAGTTTGGCAAAATTGAACGAAAAGAAATCAATCCAACTTAAAGGTTAAATTGTAGACAAGTGATGATTGGTGAAGGTACTAGAACAGAAAAATTCTCAAACTTCTCCAGCAGCATGTAATCTAAATCAGACATGCTCAACACATTTACCAAAGTAACATGAAGAATTCAGGTCCTTCATGTATGACTAGGTCGAAGAAGATACCATGCTACTTCAACTCTAGTTGGCGTTATGTTACGTGTTTTGTGTTCGACGAAGTGTGGAAAATACAAATTCCTCTTTAACAGCTTTGACTTTCAGAATCAGCTTTCAGAAAGAGATTCGGCTTGTTTATGATGCCTCTTTTGGCTAGCATACACAACAGCAAAAAAACTGCAAACTGCATCATACAAATTATATGTGGACCAAATTCTAGAAAGATTCACAAATGCTAAATCAAAAATTCAAGTGATTTTGAAAAACCCATGCCAGTACATATACAAAAAATAGATATGCAACACAGAAACATCAGCAATATAGCTTTTTACTTCAGTCTTATTTATATACTTCTCGTGTCTGAAAATGCAAAGAAACATACAGCATGTTTGGCCATGCTTATATAAGGTCCCCGAAGTGATTTACAAGTTACACGGGTGCTCTGAACTCCACAATCCACATAATGCAAGGTAATTCATTTCGCTTCTCTCTCATTCTTCTGTCTTTACATGGAAGGAGAGCTCACACGAAGAATATAAAGAGATTACATATTGTCAATAGCTGTTAGTTTTGCAGCATGAACTTATTCAGTAGGATTGCAATTCACGATTAAAACAATTCAACTTCAAAAGAAATAATTTCTTATTCCAATTTTTATGTCCCAAATCCAATTGCATGTTCCAACTCAATTCAAAGCCATTTGATTTTGAGTCCAAAGAGAAATAACACTAATCCAAAATAAAACAAAACAAATCTAACCCTAAAACGAATGGTGAAAACATGAAATTTGTGATAAATTAATTAAAGGGTTTACTAAACAACTTGCCTCTGTTCTGACGACCCAAGAAGGCTTAGAGAGTGAGAGAAGTGATATTGCACGTTGGGGGTTTTGATTCTGTGGAGTGGGTATACCATTACTTGCTGCTTCCGACCTAATAGATGCTAATAAACTTATACTTGTTATCACCGCCATTAGTGGACAGTATAAAAGCTTGCTAGTAGTAGAAAAAAGGGTCCCGGAATTATGCTAGAAAGAATTTCTGAATTCCAATAATTCTTTCTTTTTTCGAGTAGGAAGTTCGAGTCAGCGGTGCAAATTTTCAGCTGAGTGCCACACTTCAATCAGTCTACCACTACCGGAGATGGAAAACGGATATCCATTCCTTCAAAATATGCTTCCGATTGTTTTTATTATTTTCAAAATAAATTTTTCAAGCCAAGTTTCAATCACACATTTTTCAATAAAATAATATTATTAAATATAAGAGAATCAAACAGACTCAAAATAGAAGTTTTCGTATGTGTGCCCCACCATAGCCCCCTAATTGTGAGGAGATTCAACTTTATACTTTGTATCACCATAGATGCTCAACGTTATACTTAGGCTATGTTTGATAGCCAAGAAATTTTATGGGAGTAGGAAAACGTTTTCCATTTTCCCCAAATTGTGGTGTTTGATAGCACAAATTTTCCTAAGAAAACATTTTCCACATTTTTCTAGGTACAATCATTTGATGCACAAAAACTTGATTTTGTTTTCCCACCTATTTGGTGGGAAAATATTTTCCACCTTTTTTTTTTT